TTTTTTTTTTTTCAGTTTTTGGTTGTGGTCACGTTTGAACCTGCCACCTTTGGTATATGGGGCCAGTGCCCTACTACTTTGAGCCACAGACACTACCCTAGAAGGGACATTTCTTCTTAAACTGAGAGAGGCTATCTACAGCAAACCCACAGCCAATATTATATTGAATGGAATAAAATTGAAAACATTTCCACTCAGATCAGGAACCAGGAAAGGTTGTCCACTGTCTCCACTGCTTTTTAATATTGTAATGTAAGTCTTAGCCATTGCAATTAGGTAAGAGAAGGCGACCAAGAGTATCCATATAGGATCAGAGGAGATCAAACTTTCACTCTTCACAGATAAAATGACTGTATACCTAGAAAACCCCAGGGACTCAACTACAATTCTCTTAGAAGTGATCAAGGAATACAGCAGTGTCTCAGGCTGCAAAATCAATACTCACAAATCAGTAGCATTTATATATACCAACAATAGTCAAGCTGAAAAAACAGTCAAGGACTCTGTTCCTTTTGCAGTAGCATTGAAGCAGATGAAATATCTGGGAGTGTACCTAACAAAGGATGCGAAAGATCTCTATAAAGAGAACTATTAAATTCTGAGAAAAGAAATTGCTGATGATGTTAAACATACATGGAGAAACATATCATGCTCATGGCTGGGAAGAATCAAAACTGTTAAAATGTCTATACTACCCAAAGCAATCTACAGATTTAATGAAATCCCTATTAAAGCACCTCTGTCGTACTTTAAAGATATGGAAAATTAGTACGTTATTTAAAATGGAACCAAACAAACAAAAAACCTCAAATAGCCAAGACATTACTCAGAAATAAATACAAATCAGGAAGAATCATGCTACCAGACTTCTGAGTATACTATAAATCTATAATGATCAAAACAGCATGGTAATAGCACAAAAATAGAGAGATAAATGAATGGAACAGAATTAAGAACCAAGAGGTGAACCCAGACAATTATCATCATTTGATGTTTGATAAGCCTATCAAAAATATAAATTTTGGGAAAGATTCCCTATTTAACAAATGATGCTGGGTGAATTGGCTGGTGATGTGTAGAAGACTGAAACTGAACCCACTCCTTTCACCTCTACCAAAAATTGACTCTCACTGGATAAAAGACTTAAACTTAAGATATGAAACTGCAAAGATTGTTGCAGACTGTGCAGGGGAAACACTTGAAGATATTGGCCTAGGAGAATAGTTTACTAGGCAGGCCCCCAGGGCAATTGAAACAATACCAAAAATACATTACTGGGATCTGGTCAAACTAAAAAGCTTCAGCACTGCCAAGAACACAGTAAGCAAAGAAAGTACACAGCTCTAAGAATGAGAGAGGATATTTGCATGTTATGTTTCTGTCAAAGGTCTGATAACCAGAATCCACTGAAAACTCAACCTTATAAATAAGAAAAGAACAAGTGATGCCATTTCATTTTAGGCAAGAGACTTGAGCAGAAGCTTCTCTAAAGAAGACAGACTCATGGTCTACAGACACATGAAAAAAATGCTCATCATCTTTAATCATCAGAGAAATGCAAATCAAAACCACTTTGAGAGATCATCTAACTCCAGTAAGAGTGGCTCACATAAAGGAGCTGGAACTGGAAAATGTTCTTCTTAGCAAAGTATCACAGGAATGGAAGAAAAAGTATCCAATGTACACAGCCCTTTTATGAAACTAATTTATAGCTCTCAAATGAAAGAT